TTCCCCCACTGAGCGAGTTTAATGGAGAATATGTAGCGAACTACATATTCTCGAGACTCTTCCTCTTTCTAATTGTAGAAGATTACTATTATCGGGAGCCGGTCGGCCGAGCGGACAGCACGCTGGACTTGTGATCCTGTGGTCCCGGGTTCGATCCCGGCGCCGGCGAGAAACAATGGGCAGAGTTTCTGTCACCCTATGCCCCTGTTACCTAGGTGTAAAATAGGTACCTGGGTGTTAGTCAGCTGTCACGGGCTGCTTCCTGGGGGTGGAGGCCTGGTCGAGGACCGGGCCGCGGGGACACTAAAAAGCCCCGAAATCATCTCAAGATAACCTCAAGATAACCTCGGGTTGGGAAGTTTCCAAGCCTGTAAACTGTTTGTAAATGAATCCAGACTAAGCCGTCACGAGTGAGGAAAGATGTACAGGTTTCGTAAGAGGGGCACGCTTGATACCTCCTGGCCGAGGGAGAGAGATATAGACGTAGGGTTGGATAAAGCACAGAACACATCGCCGGGACACATGTGAACATGATAACATCAGCGTCGCCTGCAACTATGCCAGCTACCAGAACTGTTTTCAGGAATCTCGGTATTGAAGTCTTCAGCCAGTGTACATCCCTTTTGTAGACCAATGTTGGCCATTTGATTGCCAACGCGGGGCTAACTTCGAACTATAACCATGCTAAAAGTATACTGCAATGATTTACCACCCTTGTGGTCCATGAAGTGATGGAACGGAGCTATGAAGACACAAGAAAGCTAAAATTCACACTGATTGAGGTCATGATCACAACATAAAAGATACCCCCTTGCGGACTATATTTGGTAGACTAAAAGAAGGTGTCTGTATGGTGTTATTATTAGCGTGCAGCAGTTGTATGGTGACTATATCTCACGAAGCACATCAATCAGTTAGAAAAAGTGCAAAGGCATGCTACAATATAACTTCCAGAACTGAATAACGAGTTACGAAGAGAAACAAGAGACGTTAAATATGCCAAAGCTAGAAGATAGAAGAAAAAGAAGTGATATGATCACCACATACAAAATAATAACAAGAATCGACCACATTGACAAAGAGAAATTCCTAAAATCAGGAACTTCACGAATAAGAGGCAACAGATTCAAGCAAAGGAAACAAAGGTGCCGAAAAAATATTAGAAATAAAGTGGTAGACGGTTGGAACAAGTTAAGTGAGAAGGTGGTGGAGGCCAAGACCGTCAGTAGTTTCAAAGCGTTATACGACAAAGAGTGCTGGGAAGACGGGACACCACGAGCGTAGCTCTCATCCTGTAACTACACTTAGGTAATTATACACACACATACATCACACTCATATGCGGCGTTTGTGTTAGATTGAACACAAACAATTAGAAATATATGTCCAAACCCAGGACGTAATTAGATATGCATGGAGTGGTAATATTGATGTGTCCCAGTGGGAGTTATCCAGTGGTGTCGGGTGCTTAATGTCGCTGGTATTAATTACGGCGTGATGGATGTGAGGGATTATGATTTGTGTATGAGAGTGTCTATTATTATCTGTGTTATCTCTCACGCTTCTCCCTCACTACACACACACACACACACACACCACACACACACACACACACACACACACACACACACACACACACACACACACACACACACACATGAGTACTCACATGAGCCATAGAGACGTTAGAAGGAACTTTTTCAGTGTCAGAGTAGTTAACGGATGGAATGCATTAGGCAGTGATGTGGTGGAGGCTGACTCCATACACAGTTTTAAATGTAGATATGATAGAGCCCAGTAGGCTCAGGAATCTGTACACCAGTTGATTGACAGTTGAGAGGCGGAACCAAAGAGCCAAAGCTCAACCCCCGCAAGCACAAATAGGTGAGTACAAATAGGTGAGTACACACACACACACACACACACACACACACACACACACACACACACGCACACACGCACACACACACAGGAACCTGTACCTCTATGAACCTGTACACCTGTTGATTGACAGTTGAGAGGCGGGACCAAAGAGCCAAAGCTCAAACCCCGCAAGCACAAATAGGTGTGTACAAATAGGTGAGTACACACACACACACACACACACACACATGAGTACTCACATGAGCCATAGAGACGTTAGAAGGAACTTTTTCAGTGTCAGAGTAGTTAACGGATGGAATGCATTAGGCAGTGATGTGGTGGAGGCTGACTCCATACACAGTTTTAAATGTAGATATGATAGAGCCCAGTAGGCTCAGGAATCTGTACACCAGTTGATTGACAGTTGAGAGGCGGAACCAAAGAGCCAAAGCTCAACCCCCGCAAGCACAAATAGGTGAGTACAAATAGGTGAGTACACACACACACACACACACACACACACACACACACACACGCACACACGCACACACACACAGGAACCTGTACCTCTATGAACCTGTACACCTGTTGATTGACAGTTGAGAGGCGGGACCAAAGAGCCAAAGCTCAAACCCCGCAAGCACAAATAGGTGTGTACAAATAGGTGAGTACACACACACACACACACACTCTGGGGCGCAGGTGGCTGTGTGGATAGCACGTTGGACACGTAATCCTGTGGCCCGGGTTCGATTCCCGGCGCCGGCAAGAAAGAAAAATGGGCAGAGTTTCTTTCACCCTGATTCTCCTGTTACCTAGCAGAAAATAGGTACCTGGGAGTTAGCCAGCTGTTACGGGCTGCTTCCTGTGTGTGTGTGGGGGGGGGGCAAAAAATTAGTAACAGTTGATTGATTGACAGTTGAGAGGAGGGCCGAAAGAGCAAAGCTCAACCCCCGCAAGCACAACTAGGTGAATACACACACCACACACACAGCGCCTAAGGGGCCTCGTGGCTGAGTGGACAGTGCTCTTGTGTCGTATACCTGAGGGCCCGGGTTCGATCCCCGGCAGAGACAGAAATAAATGGATTGAGATTCTTTCACCCTGGTACTCCTGTTTACCTAGCAGTAAATAGGTACCTGGGAGTTAGACAGCTGATACGGGCTGCTTCCTAGGGATGTGTGTGCGTGTGCAAAAGAAATATCTGTAGTAGACATAATAGACGAAAAATAAATTGGTTAGAAAGGCGGGGTCCAAGAGCTAACAGCTCGATCCTGCAGATACAAATAGTAAATATAAATACGCACATACACATACACACACACACACACACACACACACACACACACACACACACACACACACACACACACACACACACACACACACAGGTCTTCACCTTAGAACAAGGAGAAATTCCAGAGGTAAGTGAGGGAATAGCTAACCAGGAACCACTGGAAGAGTTTGAGATTACCAGTGGGGAAGTAAGGAAGTGTTTACTAGAGTTGGACGTGACGAAGGCTATAGGCCCAGATGGAATCTCCCCTTGGGTTCTAAAGGAAGGAGCAAGAGAACTGAGCCTACCACTCTCCATAGTGTATAACAAATCACTGGCAACAGGGGAACTGCCAGATATTTGGAAAGCAGCTAACGTAGTCCCGATATACAAGAAAGGGGATAGACAGGAGGCACTGAACTACAGGCCAGTGTCCCTAACCTGCATACCATGCAAGCTGATGGAGAAGATTGTGCGAAAAAAACTAGTGGAGCATCTGGAGCGAAGGAACTTTGTAACACAGCATCAACATGGGTTCAGGGATGGCAGGTCCTGCCTCACAGGGTTACTTGAATTCTACGACCAGGCAAGAAAGAGAAGGGTGGGCAGACTGCATATTTTTGGATTGTCAGAAAGCCTTTGATACAGTACCACACAAGAGGCTAGTGCGAAAGTTGGAGATGCAGGCTGGAGTGAGAGGGAAGGTACTCCGGTGGATAGAGGAATACCTAAGCAACAGGAGACAACGAGTCTGTGTGAGGGGTGAGGCCTCAGATTGGCGAGACGTCACAAGTGGAGTCCCGCAGGGGTCAGTCCTTGGACCTATACTGTTTCTGGTATATGTAAATGATCTCCCAGAGGGTATAGATTCGTTCCTCTCAATGTTTGCCGACGATGCAAAAATTATGAGGAGGATTGAAACAGAGGATGATAGTAGGAGGCTACAAGATAACCTGGATAGACTGAGTGAATGGTCCAACAAATGGCTGTTGAAGTTCAACCCGAGTAAATGCAAAGTAATGAAACTAGGCAGTGGAAACAGGAGGCCAGGCACAGGATACAGAATAGGAGATGAAGTACTTAATGAAACAGACAGAGAGAAAGATCTAGGAGTTGATATCACACCAAACCTGTCTCCTGAAGCCCACATAAAGAGAATAACGTCTGCGGCATATGCGAGGCTGGCTAACATCAGAACGGCGTTCAGGAACCTGTGTAAGGAATCATTCAGAATCTTGTACACCACATATGTAAGACCAATCCTGGAGTATGCGGCCCCAGCATGGAGCCCGTACCTTGTCAAGCACAAGACGAAGCTGGAAAAAGTCCAAAGGTATGCTACTAGACTAGTCCCAGAACTAAGAGGCATGAGTTATGAGGAAAGGCTGCGGGAAATGTACCTCACGACACTGGAAGACAGAAGAGTAAGGGGGGACATGATCACAACCTACAAAATCCTCAGGGGAATCGACCGGGTAAACAAGGATGAACTATTCAACACTGGTGGGACGCGAACAAGGGGACACAGGTGGAAGCTGAGTACCCAAATGAGCCACAGAGACGTTAGAAAGAACTTTTTCAGTGTCAGAGTAGTTAGTAAATGGAATGCATTAGGAAGTGATGTGGTGGAGGCTGACTCCATACACAGTTTCAAATGTAGATATGATAGAGCCCAATAGGCTCAGGAATCTGTACACCAGTTGATTGACGGTTGAGAGGCGGGACCAAAGAGCCAGAGCTCAACCCCCGCAAGCACAATTAGGTGAGTACAATTAGGTGAGTACACACACACACACTCAAATGAATGCATTAGGCAGTGATGTGGTGGAGGCTGACTCCATACACAGTTACAAAAGTAGATATGATAGAGCCCAATAGGCTCAGGACACCGGAGGGCAGGCGATTTAGCGTTCAAAAGTAAGCCTACCAGGGCCGTAGGCCTGACTTATACACAAAGAGAGTTAATTCTAACGCCTCTACAACGAATCGTCCGGAATTTGAATTTCAGGTACGAAACCTTTCAATAGGAAACACAGGTAAACTCAATTCAAGATAAGTAATTGAGGCGCGGGGTACAGCGAGGCTACAGCTGTTAGGACCCAATTACTGTATTCAGGGAACACAGTAAAAAAGCCCCAGAAAAAGCCCCAGAAAAAGCCCCAGAAAAAGCCCCAGAAAAAGCCCCAGAAAAAGCCACAGAAAAAGCCACAGAAAAAGCCACAGAAAAAGCCCCAGAAAAAGCCACAGAAAAAGCCCCAGAAAAAGCCCCAGAAAAAGCCCCAGAAAAGACCACAGAAAAAGCCCCAGAAAAAGCCTCAGAAAAAGCCCCAGAAAAAGCCACAGAAAAAGCCCCAGAAAAAGCCCCAGAAAAGACCACAGAAAAAGCCCCAGAAAAAGCCCCAGAAAAAGCCCCAGAAAAAGCCCCAGAAAAAGCCACAGAAAAAGCCACAGAAAAAGCCCCAGAAAAAGCCCCAGAAAAAGCCCCAGAAAAAGCCACAGAAAAAGCCACAGAAAAAGCCACAGAAAAAGCCCCAGAAAAGCCCCAGAAAGTAAACAAAACGAGGGTGAAATAGAATTATACAATACTGAGAATAAAAGAACCAACAGAGACGCGAATAGAAACTGGGGATAAAATAATTAAGGGATAACTGGGCTAATACGATCAAGGCCAAAAGAAAATGGAAGGAGGGCGACGAAGAGATGGGAAAGTGAATTAGAGATAATCTGAAAGAACGATCAAAGGAAGTAGTAATATGGAAACAAAAGTATCATAGATTGAAGAGAAAGTGTGAATGAAGCACAAGGGAAGGGAACTATCGGGAGAAAGCACGAAGCCAATACGGTTATCCAGCACTTAGAAGGGATCAGGATAAGGATTTGGGATGGGACGGGGGGTGGAAGGAATGGTGCCCAACTACTTGTGGACGGTCGGGGATTGAACGCCGACCTGCACGAAACGAGAGAATGAAGCATAAACGATGATAAATATGGGACATGACGATGCTACGAAGATGAAGAGAGGCCAAAGGTTAAAGCAGGATAAAAGTGAACTATTGAGTTGAATTGAGCTGTCAGGGGAAAGCGCCAAGCCATTACGACTATATAGCACTGGGAAGGGGTCAAGATAAGAATTTTTGGATGGAACGGGGGAAGGAATGGTGCCCAACTACTTGGACGGTTGGGGATTGAAAGCCGACCTGCAAGGAGCGAGGCCGTCGCTCTACCGTCCAGCCCAAGGGATTGGCTTAAAAGTGAACTAGACGAAGAAAACATAAAAGTTATGGTATAACTCCACCTAGAATTTTGTTATAATTTTCTGGACATCAGTGAGTAATGTTTTACAATATGCTGAAATAAAGGAAAATATTAATATTGGTTATATTTAATATGAAGAGCCTCTGCATCCTTACTAAAAGACGCTTGTTAAATAATGAAAGGTATTTAGAGGGGTTAATTAGAATAGTAATGTGGGATGAATCTCCGGGACCTCCAACCCCGGAGACCGCTCCGGGGTTGGAGGTCACTGTGCCCTTCTTCACCACCTTCGAGGTCAACCCCGGAACTCACAGTTCCTGCGACGGCGCTGGAACCAATCGTATTGGCGTATGCCTTTCCATTGGAGACTTTCAGCGCCGTGGAGAGCGGGGACCTGCTGCCTGGGTAACAGCTTCTCCCCCGTATCAACCTACACCCTGGCTTTGCGCCCTGGTGAGGCCACTCCAGACCGACAACCAGAGCGCAACTCCATAGTTTCCTAAGACTGATGGATGCCTACTCCTAATGTGGGAATGTCTTCACTGGAGCCCCACAAGGCTCAGTGATGGATCTAAAGCTGTTCATACAGTCAGTCCTCCTAAGGTTCCCCAACGTCCAGAAACTGTCGTACTAAAGTGCCCTTATCGTAACCTACCAGATGACCCAAAACAGAAAACGGGACAGTATGTAAATGTCGCGAGTCGCTTCCATTTTCTAGTACGACAGTTTTTGGCCTTATGTGGAGTATACGTCAAAATGCGACGCTCTATTAGGAGGACGGGTCGGCTCACAGTATACATGACTCACAGTCATGGGGTCCAAGCTGCTCATAGTATACATAAGTCACAGTGATGGGGTCCAAGCTGCTCATACTATACATAAGTCACAGTCATGGGTTCCAAGCTGCTCATACTATACATAAGTCACATTCATGGGGTCCAAGCTGCTCATACTATACATAAGTCACAGTGATGGGGTCCAAGCTGCTCATACTATACATAAGTCACAGTGATGGGGTCCAAGCTGCTCATACTATACATAAGTCACAGTGATGGGGTCCAAGCTGCTCATACTATACATAAGTCACAGTGATGGGGTCCAAGCTGCTCATACTATACATAAGTCACAGTGATGGGGTCCAAGCTGCTCATACTATATATACATAAGTCACAGTGATGGGGTCCAAGCTGCTCATAGTATACATAAGTCATAGTCATGGGGTCCAAGCTGCTCATACTATACATAAGTCACAGTCATGGGGTCCAAGCTGCTCATACTATACATAAGTCACAGTCATGGGGTCCAAGCTGCTCATACTATACATAAGTCACATGGCTGATGAACTAGACTCATTTTGTCGATCAGGACGAACAAGAAATATTGAAGGCTCAAACACAAGATAATAAAAAAACCCAGGACGAACGAGGACTCCAGGAGTCATGAGGACAAGATGGCGCGAATCAGGAGAAGCTAAGCCAAGCCTTGCCTTCCACCAGGCTTGGAGAAGCCAAGCCTTGCCTTCCACCAGGCTTGGAGAAGCCAAGCCTTGCCTTCCACTGGGCTTGGAGAAGCTTCAAAACTCATCCTCATACAACATAAATCTTCACAGGGGAGCCAGGCGGGGAGAGGCGGAAGCCCCGCGCTGGTCAGGTTCTGGGAAATGCTGAAAATGGACGCCAAATCCTGGTCAGAGGCAAATAAGATAGAGTTTTGACTCTGGGGGTTTTGGTCTTAGGAAGTCCAACGCTCCCTGAAGCGTTTGGACTTCGTCGAAGACCGCCAAGAACCTCCACCAGCTGACTCAGTTTCAATGCTAAA